GCCCCTCCACGTCCAAGCATAGCATGGCGTGTGCCATCACGCAACCTCAACGGCACTGGGACACAGAGGCACGACGGCACTGGGATACTGAGGCACAGGAACACAGGTACTCAGCTGCACGGCGGTGCAGCGGCGTGGCGGCAGGACTCTCCGGAACGGAGTCCGGCGGAAGGCCGGGGAGGGTGCAAGAGGGCCGGTGAGTGCGTGAGGAGCCAGCGGATGCGCAAGGGGCCGAGTCGCACGAGGGGTCAGCCAGGCGAGCAAGAGGCCGGGTAGGTGCGGGAGGGGCCGGCGCGTAGAGAGGAGCCGGCAAGACGCATGGGCCCGGCGGAGCGCAGGAGCGGCCGGCGAGGCGGTAGGGGCCGGCGAGGCGGTAGGGGTTGGCTAGGCAGTAGGGGCTGGCTAGGCGGTAGGGGCCGACAAGGCGGGGTTGGGTTGTACTCTCTAAGAACACACACCTATTCTAGCCTATAACTTCTACATGCAAATGTATGTATAAGTTGACAAATCCCCTATACAGAGATGAGGCATCAGATTATACTGGTGAAAAAAAACTGAAAAAACAGCGTAAGTACATAAATGTTCTCTGAAAAAACAGAGTAAGGTACAAAAAAAAGTCTTCCCAATCAGAGTACACCCCCAAAAAAAATCTGAAAAAATGTTTGAATCAGAGTAAAAAGTCTGGAATTTGGGGGCCTGCCTTGGATCTTTTCAGAATGCTAATTCCTTGTAACAAAGTGCTTGATAGCACAACGGAAGTCTTGAGTTGAACCCTTGTACTGGTACCATAGTCCCCCGTATATAACACCCTAGGGAATTGTCAATTTTTTTATTTTTATTTTTAATTTTGGGTGTTAACTGTAGGCTGGAAAAATATAAAGCCCATGTCTTATGTAAAATGTAAATGAATTTGGGTTGTAAAAGGGAATTTGAGGCAAGAACTTCACCAAGCAACTGCTACAGAGATTGCACACTTTGACAGGGTCAGTTCAGTGCCTCTGAAAATCGTGGGAGATTGATCCAGCAACAGTGCCATGTGTCCTTCACCAATCTCGTATGAGTACTGTGAACAGAGCCAGCTTCGTGCTTCGGAAAGCAGTCAAGATATTCTCTCTCGACCATTGCTGCTGACGTGATCGAGGTAGTTCAACAGCAAGATGGACGGTCAAGATCCTCACGACACTTGCTGTCTTTCGATTTCGTTTTGCCACTTGTATTGATTCGTCTACTCGTCTTTGCGTTGCGAATGGCAGCTGACGCGATTTTCATCCTGCTCGCTTTTTGCAGCTAGGCGGACCTTAGTTATGGAGGACGAAATATTGTTTGAAGGCAAGAAAAACGTGCAAGGTGTTATGTAAAATGCAAACCCAAAAAAGCGGGTACTGTGAAATATGCGCCATATCATAAGCTATCCCCCGCATATGCCACCCATGGGCTGACTAAATCGGCGGGTCTTATATACGGGGATTATGGTATATGAGGACAAGTGATTGATTATAGCAAAGGGATACAATGTTTATATAATAACACGAGAAAATATGAAGAGTCTAACTGTTTTGCACTTCGAGGGGTACATTCCCTTTTATGACTCGATAAAGGCGACTCGGGTAACCACCAGTACTGTAATATCGGGACGGTTATTTGTCCTTACTGTCGCGCTGACTCTTGACTCTTGCATTTCTGACTGTTAGGTTGCACGGTCAACGGTCTGCGACCGTTGCCCTTTCATAACCTCTGTGAGGTGTCGTCAACTTGTGTGAATCGTCAGGGTTACTGTAGCGGTGTTGACTCGGTAATCATCGCTGTTGTAGTCTTCGCGTATTTCGTTTACTCACGCGAGACTCCAGAAATGCCTTAAGTCATTTTATCATTTCCAACACCCTCCTTCATTTATGGAGTGTCGATGAGGTCGAGGTCGCTGACGTGTTCCAGTCCAGTCAACAGCATGCAATACTGGAACTTGGCTTTCATCAGCTTTTTGGTCAAGTAGTCGGCTGCCATTTCAGTGGTGGGGCAGTAGACCAATTGAAGGCGACCCTGCTCGATCTCGTCTTTCACGAAGAAGTAATGAAGCAAGATGTGCTTTGTCCTGTTCGCGAATCCATTTTTGTTGACGATTTTTATTGCCGATTTGTTGTCGCAGGAGAGAGAGAAGCTCGGTAACTCGACAATCTTTGCCTCTTCGAGCAGCTCGCGCAGGTACGGTCCTTTCTTTGTAGCTGCGCAGAGGCGATATATTCAGCTTCGGCAGATGAGAGGGCAATCAATTCCTGCTTTCCCGAGTGCCAGGAGATAGTTCCGATAGGTTCCAATCGGTAGATGTAGCCGGTGCGTGAACGGCGGTTGTCCTTATCGCCGGCGTGATTGGCGTCGACGTAGCCGATGAGTTCGGCTTTAATAGCAGCATTCTTCGAGATGAAGTAGTGGAGCGCGCGGTTGAGTTCCTCCAGATTCCCCCCTTCAGGTCGCTTAAGATGGGTAGCGAGCTGGCTAGCAGTGTAGGAGAGGTCGGGACGGCAGGCAACGGTGGCCAATAGTAGACAGCCGAGCTTCTGCTATTACTCCTGAATCCCGGCCGGTGCGAGTAGTGAGGTGGTCGACGCGAGTGCTGGCAGCGCATAGAGGGGTGGCGGGGACAGATCGAAACGGCGACGTTGAGGCCGAGGTACTTCATCGCGGTCGGCGACACCGTGATCGTGAGCTGGAGTTCCAGCTCACCCTTGAACCAGACGGTGATGGAGGTTGTGGAGATGACGTAAAGGAGGCCGTCCACGTATACGATCAGCAGGACATAGTCGCTGCTGCGGGACAGGCGGTACATGCCCTGGTCGTGCGGTAGCTGGGCGAAGCCCATGTCGGTTAGGATGCGGTGCAAATGCTGCTGCCACAGGCGCGGGCCCTGCTTGATCCCGTAGAGGGATTTGAGCAGTTGGCAGACCATTGTTGGGTCGTCGACGTAGGCGTGGGGCTGCTTGACGAAGATGTCGGCATCGACCGGGGCATAGAGGAAGGCGGTGGCTACGTCGATTTGGCGCAGGGGAAGACGATGAGTGGCGGCGACGGCAAGGAGGATTCGAAGAGAAGTGTGGTGGCTGACGGGAGCGAACGTCTCCGTGTAGTCACTGCCATACTGCTGTTCGAATCCACGAACGACCCATCATGCTTTGAAGCGATTGATAGTCCCATCTCCCTTGGTGTTTACTTGGAAGACCCATTTTCCCGACAGTACTGTTTTTTGCTTGGTTTGGGAGATCGTGATCAGCTTCCAGGTGTTGCGTTCGTGTAGCGCCGCTAATTCCCTGTCCATTGCATCCCTCCATTTTTCCCTGTGTGGCCCTTTCAGTGCTCGCTTGACAGCCTTCAGCTCCTCGACTGGTGGCGGTGACGGAGGATGCAGTGCTGCTACAAGTCTCGAGGATTTGAAGTCCAGTCTCGGTGTATCGGGGGAGGGTTGGATCCTCGGGATAAGCTGCTTCGTTGCTAGCTTCAGGATCAGGTACGAAACCTGGTCCTACGTGTTCTGAGACATTTGTGTCGACGCTGTGGGGTGTTATGCAACCAGTGTCCGCGAAGTGGTAGTAGGCATTGGCATTCGCACTTTTGCGAGGGTTATCATCGTCCATCGACATGTCGACAGAGCAGTATGGATTTGGTCCTGCAGCTGCTGACGCGTCAGGGATGTTTTGCTCCTCCATGTCAGCTTCTTCTTCAGTCGAGGTGAACACGCGTGCTCCATCAAAGCCACCGGATGGGTCCCGATTGGCTGCGATATTCTCCAGGTAATGGTTGAGCGTGAGGTTTTTATGGAAAATCATCACACGTGCAGGTACTATTTCCTTATCTTCGACGTCGAAGATTTTCCAGGCCTTGTAGTGTTTTTTTCCACACCGAGGTAAAGACCCCATCGTGCGCCCTGTGAAAGTCGTCCAGCTCTTGCAGTGTGGGGACGGTACTGTACCATGCACCCGAATACTGGTAACAGTTTTGTGCTGCCCTGCTTTCCTGTCCACAGCAAATGTGGTGATGCGTTATTTGGCAAGGAGCTTGACGACATAAGATTTTGCAGCATGACGGCGTGATTCATCGCATCTGGCCATTGCGGGTTGGGCAGGCGCATCCCAATCAGTAACTTCCGCATGGTGTTCTGGAGGGTCCGATTCATCGCCTCTGCTATGCCGTTTTGTTGGTGAGCATAAGGGAGGGTGACGAGCCTCTTGATTCCCCTTTCTGCGAGGTAGTCCTTGAATCGTTGTGACTGATACTCCATCGCTCCATCTGACTGAATTTTTTTTAGGTTCATGTTTCCCTCCCGTTCTGCTGCAGCAAGCCATGCAAGGAAGACAGAGAAGGCGAGGTCGCGTGACGGTAGGTTAAGATGACATGTGTATCTTGTCGCGGCATCAACGAAGGTGATTACGTAGTTGAGGTCGGCTCGGCCGACTTCTCGTGGAATGTAGAGTATATCACTCTAGACTTTCTCGAGTGGAGTGTATTCTGGCGCGTGGGGTTGTGATGTGACGAGAACGGCTGATGAGGAAGGTCTGCTTCCGGGCAGATAAAGCAGGTACGTCGCGGTCGGCGAAGTTCTCGGCCATCGAGTAGTAGGAGCGTGTCCTTGTCCAAGACATTCACACGAATCGTGTCGAATAACCTAGAATTTCTTGGATGCCCTAACCGTCGATGCGAAGTTTCTTCGCTTGCATTGTGTCCCACAGATCGACGATACAGGTCCGAGTTGGTGTAGAAGGCGGAGACGGTCGCGGTGCTCCGATGTTGCTCGCACGGATACACCTTCAGCCGTTCGGTGTCTGTCGGTGGTGGTTCTTCAACGGGTTCCGGTTCAGGCGGATTTTCTTCGACGGGTGGTGCCGACGAAGGTCCCGCGATGGTACTTCTAGGAAATTGGCTTGTCGGCGCTTTCAGTTCTGCTTCTCGTTCCTCTGTTTCTTTTTCTTATGCTTCTTGCATCACTGCTAATGCTTGGGTGCCCTCTGCTTCAGGTATGGTGTTGGGGTACCAAAAGCCATCGCGGTTGAAACCGGGGTCAAGATCCGGCGGGTGCGTCCAGGGTGCGAAGGAGACGACACCGTCGTTGTCGGCGGCCCTGCAGTCCAGAACAAAATCCAAGACAAAGACACCATGCTTCTAGATGGCTCTGCCAATGAAGAGGCCGCCCTTCCCGTGGTAGAGTCGGAACTCTCGGTCAAAGCTGTCGCACTCTAGGTGAATTCCCTTTGACATCAGCTGGCTAACGCTTAAGAGGTTGTATCCGAGGTTGTCAACGACAAGTACTCGCGACATTTGTAGTATTACGATCGTCTCACTTGATTGTAACTGGACAACCCCCTCCTTCCTTGTGCGTAGGTTCTGGTTGTTGGCAATAGTAATGACGACTTTGCGGCTTAACGTCTTCTCCTGCTGGACGAAGTGAGTTGAAGAACACAAATGCTGGCCACAACAGCTATCAAGAAACCATGTGTCGTGGCTAGATGGTTCATCGCGGGCGATTGCAGCGTAAGTCGGGTTCAGTTGGAGCCGAGTTTGTGTCGGAGCGGGGGGTTGTTCGTCAAGATCACTGTGTGGTGGAGAGTCGGGTACGCACAAGCCCTGTTCGAGCCATACAGCTAACGACGTTCCTTGCGTCTTGTGCAGAGCGGTTCGTCGGAGCTGATGGGTGTTGCTGAGTTGAAGCGACTGGATTCGGTGACGGCCATGTAGAACGCTAGTTGCTGACTCGATTTCTTCGCATGTCTTTCGTCTTACAGGTCCATGTCTTTCTGCTTGGCATGGAGCTCTGCGCACAGGTGCATCTCGGAGATTCGCCCGTGAGCACATACAAGGGAGTGCGTCATGCGCCACAGTGGACCGAGGCCGGCGAGGACGACCGTGACGAACGAGTTTTCTTATAAGTGCCCTCCGCTTTGTAAGAGTTTGTCGCGCAAGCCTCTGCAACGATTAATGTAAGGCATTGCCTTTTCTCCAGTTTGCGTCTGGATTGTCGTGAGTTGAGCCTTTAGCCGACTCTGTGTCATGATGTCGGTTGCTTGATATACGCTCTTCATATGGCAGTATGCCGCTTCTACTGAGTTGCTGAAGTTGCGATATGTTCGGATGCTCTGCAGCTCTGTAGCTGTCAGGTTGCGCAGGAGGATGGTGAAAGCCATCAGCGACTGATAAGTACAGACTTTCTTTTCCTGAGTAGTCCCATTTGCAAGAAAGGCCCAAGAGCCGGTGAAGAAGCCAAGGATCTGTACGCCGTCCATCAGCAACTTGAACTCGAAGCTCCAAGCAAAGAAGTCCTTCCCATTGAAAGGTGAGGACGTCTGCAGTTTTAGGATGTTGTTAAACTGATGTTGCATGTTGACGATGTCTGACTGCTTGTCAGTCGTCGTTGAGTCCACTGCCAGTGCGGGAGTCGGCAGGAAGGTGAATGAGTCTGGCGAGGGCTGGTACGGTTGATGCTGTACAGGCTGTATGCCTCTTGCGTATGATGCACCGTCGAGACTCATGGGGACTGCCCCACTGTTGTTGTTGCTGTTGGTCGATTGAGCAGGTGCCGAGGGCTTCTCATAGGTCGAGATGAAGGAGAAGAACTTCTCCATCAGATTTGGGTCCATCCCCATGGAGGAGGCCACTGGTTGCGTGGAGGCTCCTGCAGTTGCAACTGCCTCAGTCTAGAGTCCCGAGACTGGGGTTGCAGAAGGGGATCCAGTTGAGGATCCGTCGCCCTTAGATGGTGCCATGTCTTGTTATGTCGAGTTGATAACTGGAGTTGTTGTACTTGATTCTTCAACGAGTTGGAAAAAAACTCACTTGGGGGAGTTTGTAATAGGAGCGTAGCTTCTGACAGGCTCTCATACCATGTTGGGCTGAGAATAGCCCTAGGATCTTTTCAGAATGTTAAGTCCTTGTAACAGAGTGCTTGATACAGTGACGAAAGAAATTGTCCACATCTCAGCCTCTTTAGGCAAATAATCGTGTGTAGTGTTTAGAGATGCAGCTTATAAAATGCCAGGTTTTAAGGCGGAGCTAGACATATGCCTATACAAGAAGGTCTCATGATAATCAGCCCTAATCATTCAATATAATGTGCCTGGGCAAAATCCATACACACACAAGTACACTCGGACAGTTTGTGCCCAGTTCAAAGTATGCAAGAGACACCCAGAAATCAGTACCTAGTCCATTTTCTCTTAGCCCTAACCACTGCCTTCACCCTCCTAGGCATTATATCAATGAGCCCCCTGCACACATCAACATCTATCCTCTCCCAGGTCTCTTGGATCCGCTCCCAAGTCTGGAGCATCCCTGAGGGGGGGAGCTCATACTTGGAAAGCTCGCATTTGAGTTGGGCCCACAAGTGCTCGATGGGGTTGAGATCAGGGGATGAAGAGGGCCACAGCAGGACTGAATATTCTTGCTCTGACAACCACTCCTGCATAAGGCGGGACTTGTGCTTGGGGTCGTTGTCATGCTGGAAAATGACATCAGAGGTGGTAAGGTCATCGAACTCAATGGTTTGGGCAAGCTCATCCTGCAAGATGCTTCGATACAACTGCCCGTCCATACGGCCGTCGATTTTACACATGTATCCAGGGCCATCGTACGTCATACACCCCCATATCATGACTGACCCACCCCCATGCTTAACATTTTGCTTGATGTGATGCCCTTGAAGAGCCGCCCCATGGCGAATCCATGCATACGTCCGGCCGTCACTACAGAAACGGTTGATCTTGGTCTCATCAGACCAGACCCCCCATTTCCAGTCGTCCAAGGTCCAGTCAAGGTGGGCCTTGGCGAAATCCAGTCTGTCTCTGATGTTACGCGCGGAGAGACGTGGCTTCTTCGGTTGTTGGACGGCGACTAGGCCGGACAATTTGAGGGCGTTATGGACTGCTCTGGGGCAGATCTTAATGCCATGGTCTATTTCCAGTAGCTTAGCGGCTTCCACGCTAGTCTTCACCTCGCCAGAAGTCACAGCTCGAACGAGGATGTGCCTATCACGTACTGAGAGCAGGCGCGGTCGGCCAGACCTCGGGACTGTCGGCCTAACCGCTAGGCTGCTGGTGCACAAAGAGGCCTCTTGAGCGTATTTCTGAACTGTGCTCTTCCCTATCCCTAGCATTCTAGTGATTTGACGGAAACTATGACAGTGTCGAAGCAGGGTCACGATCCTATCTTTCTGGCACGAAGAAAGAGGCCGCATCGTTGCTAGGAGCCTGGCGGGGTTCACGCTATGCCGTCGATAAAGACTAGGCGATTAGGTTTGTGAGATCGCGAAATGCCGAGAGAAAATAGATCTAGACTCGAATCGGGAGCTAATTTTCCGCATCGAGTGTCGCTAGCAAAGTGGTGGACTCACTATAAGCGGTTCGATAAAGCATTCAATACCCTACAGCATTAGGATGCTTCACTCCTTAGTCACACGATACAATGGGTACTTGGGGATGAATGCACACTAAACGTGCTTAAAATACACAATCTTTAGACTTGTGTGACTTTTCAAACCCAATTAATTCCGTCACTTTAGCACAGTGGAAGTCTTGAGTTGAACCTTTTACTGGTATATGAGGACAAGTGATTGATTATAGCAAAGGGATACAAGGTTTATATAATAACACAAGAGAATATGAAGAGTCCAACAGTTTTGCACTTCAAGGGGTACATTCCCTTTTATGACTCGATAAAGGCGACTCGGGTAACCACCCGTACTGTAATATCGGGACGGTTATTTGTCCTTACTGGCGCGCTGACTCTTGACTCTTGCGTTTCTGACTGTTGGGTTGCACGTTCAATGGTCTGCGACTGTTACCCTTTCATAACCTCTTTGAGTGTCGTCAATATGTGTGAATCGTCAGGGTTACTGTAGCGGTGTTTGACTTGGTAATCCTCGCGGTTATAGTCTTCACGTATTTCGTATAGTCACGCGAGACTCCGGAAATGCCGTAAGTCCTTTTATCATTTCCAACATCAACCTTTGTCTGCTTGCTATTGGGAAGGAGTCTTATGTGTTAAATTTGTTTACCTTGGGCTAAGCTGTCAGAGTGAGAGAATGAATTGGGGAGACACATGCTCCCATATCAGTGTTGTACCCTCTATAGTATGCTCCTAGCTAGCATACGGTACATACAAAATATGTACGCTAATATGCCCCCTAGTCTTGGTAGGGGCAGAGTCTAACAGCAAAACAAATATAGCAAACCAGGACAGCACTACTAGTCTGACCACTGAGACAAGGGCCAGAAGGCCAGTAAGCAAGTGTGGCAAGACAACCTGTATAGATCAACAAATACATAACCTGTATAGTATAGATTAGGATACAAGGAATGGTAAGGCAACTAGGACTAGACCAAGCTAAGTGCAAAATCGTTGAGGATCAAGAGGCCAAATGGCCTTGGTGAAGATATCATCAGTGTTGGCCTCTAAGGCCAGCTGTACTACACGGGCCTGGCCACGCTGCTACAACTCATGCAGCAGGAAGTACCGCAGTTGGATGTGCTTGGCCTTGCCCTCAAGTCAAGCCTCATGATACAGGAGGATCGTGGCCCTGCTATGCGCAAATAGGCCGAGGCAGACCTAGGCTGCTCACTTGAGTCAATGAGCAAGAACGTCAGCCAGCGGAGCTCCTAGGCGACCATAGCACCATCATAGATCTCTGCCTTACAACTCACTATGCTATAGACGATGACCGAGTGGACCACTACAAGACGGCACCTGCACCAAGGCTGAAGCAGTAGCCCTGTGGCTACTTGAGCATCTCCACGTCGTCAGATCATGATGTGTCAGTGTGTCCAGCGAGGACCACTGGCACCCGTGCTCCCAGCAAAAGCCCCAGACTTTATGTACTCGTCAGATACAGCAACACTCTCTTTGCAGCCGACCAGTGCGCTGGTCGATCTCTGCCAGTGGCAACAAAGCGAGCAAGGATATTGAGAGGGTACACTAGATCTGGGTTAGTGCACGTCATCAGCTACATGAGGCAACCCATATGTATGGACCATTGGGTTCGAACTGGGAGCTGAGAGCATATGGTCCACAGGCAGGTGAGTGAGCTGTGCTGACAAGAGCTGAAGGCCGAACCTCAGGAGATCTGCTGCACCATCTGGGACTTGGAGAGTGTAACCGTGCGTGTTGCACGATCACAATAGATCTCCAAGCCCAGATCGCGCCGCAGCTCTCCCACATCTGTACACGCGTGTTGCCTGAGCAGCCCGACCTTCATTAAGGCAAGCGCGAC